AAAATGTCACTACGTTTGAAGAATTTTCCTATCAGCAAGCCTGAAAGGAAAATTCACTAGCTTGTCAGTGACAATTTGTATTGAAGAAGGTTTGAAGAAGAGAAATTATATCTGTGAAGTTTGGGTATACCTACTGCGGATAAGTTTAATTGAGTAAAATATATGATGGCTATCAACAACATGGCTGATGATCGTGAATTGTATCAAATAAATCGAATATTCATTTGGATAGAGTGATTCTTATTCATTGGATTGTATATAGTGTTGATTTATATCCGATTAACTCATGATCATCATGTATGTTTACTTTTCACTCAATAATGACTGAAAATTAATCGAATCAGAGTATTTCAAATCATAAATGAGTTAGTTGAATCTTCATTGATCACATTATTTCCAAATTAGGTATATTGAATCTTAATTGAAACAGTGTTATCGAAACTGATTTAATAATTCAGTTGTGATCATTCTTGAGATCTATATATAAAATATTTGTTAGAAACGTTATATTAGAATTTGTCTCTATTAAGGTTACATACCCAAAACAAATCTGCTCCGATGATAACATTTTTGAATCAGTTGTTATACGCATTTCTGTTCGCAGATTGATGTGACTGTCAACGAGCTTGCTGGTAAGTCTGAAGTCAAGAAGAAGCCATATTTGATTTCGGAAGGCGAGACCACATGTACCTACTGATGGTTTCAAGTTGTGTTAGCTTTGTTCTTCATCAGAAGTACATTGTGATTGTAATTGTATTGTAACCTACTTAGATTGTTAATAAACTTCCGTACTATATATCATATTTACTGAAAATTATTTGAAACCAGTCGAAAAAAGTTCAAAAGTACTCATGTTGGGTATGAAAGCACTCAATAATAGACATATAAACACTCAATAAATGTTCTTGGCAGTTGAAATGAGTTGAAACTCACTCAAGAAATCACTTAACTGAAATAATATTCAAATCTGAACCGAGAACATTGACTCAATTCTGATTCCTTATATTCACTCATTCAATTACGATTTCACTCAGTCAAGTAGAGTGAATTTTCAACTCAATCGGGCGTGGACCGAAATTGAGACATAATTGAGTGAGAATTCACTCTTTTTTCAAGTGCATATGTTCATATTAGATGAACGTCTTATAATGAAAAGGTAGAATTTTGGTGAATTATAGGTCGAGATTCCTGACCTTCTCCATGTTATTGTTATTACTAGTATGTACAGTATCAATGGTTATTATAGATTCATACATAGATCTATGATTCATATAATACTGCAAACATGAAGACAGTTCCACAAGTACTGGAAGAAAGTATTGCTTTCCTCACTAGATACATAAATTGTCATTATATGCGTAATCTTAGTTGATTGAGTTATCAGAAACTGCCAGCAAGAATATCATTTACCAATTCGTCCTTCTCCTTTACAAGACAAACAGAAACAGGTGTATTACAATTTGATGACAATGATTTGTCACTCAATTACCGACAACACGCTTCTGATGATGTTTCCACAGACTGGCAAGGAAATTAATTTGGAAGACTAGGAACATTTGTTATGGATATCACTGACAACGGTAATAACGATAAAGCCATCGGTATAATTTCTTGTCCTGACAAGGTCCAACGCTACACACTCACGATATAGGTTATCTCTATAGGCACAATGTATTAGCTAGATACGCAGGTGTCTGTAATTACTTGGCACCTTTGGTTTCACCATAAATCTTGTCCTGGCTTTCAAGAATGACCTGTTTAAATCACCCGAACAACCCCAAAAGTGAAATTCATGAACTGATAGGGACCTCTGGTATCGATTTCCAAAATCAGCATCACAATAACAAAGACTAGTACTTAAAGTCGACTTTTTTTATAGCTTGGAGCGCACGAAAGGGAATCCCTATAATGTTCGAAGAACATCGTGCGTTCCTAGGGAGGATAGGGATAGTTAGGTTAGGAGTGAGGCGAATACAACCAAACAACTCTGAGAACTGATGGATGATGCATCAGTAATCAGCATTTTGGAGACTCCAAGAGTATTTACTAGTGGAACCAAGAAGAACTGTGACACAGAAAAAATCAGGTATAGGTAAATAATTAACTTTTAATTAATATATGACACACAGCTGCTTAACAATCCCACTACTGTTTGTGGACTATAGATTCATATTTTTCATGAATCAAACTCAAGTTGGAAAAAACTTGTAAATATTAACACAAAAAAACTCATAACACGGAGAGCTGACAAAAAATTTCATTGTCCGATTAATTGTATTTTACTGCCGTTACAACATTAAAAACTAAACAGGATGTCTGGCAGGTTTTCAGTGGTGGAGATGACCTTGGTATGGCCACAAAGGGTTGAAGAAAAATTCATTCAACGTACAATTGATAGAGCGGTGAATTTTCTAGGGTTGGTAGCCGATTATGTTTTGCTTTTCAATAAAAATTATGCCAGACACATTGAGTGTTACAATCATAGCGCCAGATAGCGTTAATAGGCCAAACAAATAAGGATTTCACGAGGAATTAATTGATATCAAGCTGGAAACCGTTTCAATGCCTTCATTTAGCCCTAATTGAGTTTAATGTGAGTTTGCTTCATCTCATGAGGTGAACTCAACTTTTGGGAGCCCAAGAGGTGAATTTTTGCACTTTTCTCAGAAATTTGCTTATAGCTTAAAAACATCGCGTCTAACGCAAAACCACACTCAATTCAATAATAATAAAGACGGTTAAATTCTTCGTGAAATGAGTACATGAAAGTTCGAATTTGGTTCAGTAGAACAGCTGAAATCGAAAGATCAGTGAATAAACCAGACCAAAACTTGTCAGACCTTCTAATGGTTAAGAAGCCTTGATCCTGTCTGGCATATTTTTTATTGAAAAGCAAATATAATCGGCTACCAATCCACAAAAAATCAGCGCTCTATTAATCGTACGTTGCATTGCATTTTCTTCAACCATTTTCAGCCATACCACGGCCGCCTCCACCACTGAAAATCTGCCAGACATCCCGATCAGTTTTTAATGATTTTACGGCAGTAGAATAAGGTAGGTAGGAGATATCGATATATCAATCGGGCGATGAAATTTGTTGTCAGCTCTCAGACTATATCGCTCTAAAGATGTTTTCAAACCTTTCAAGGAATATCTCATTGATTCGAAATCAGATGTTTTGTTTAAGCACCAATAAAGTTATTTTACTTTCTCTCCTCGAAATCGGAAATTTTTTTCACAAATAACCTACAAAAATTGATCTACTGTCTTCGTTGCACCAGTCAAGAAATACAAGGGTGGGCCTATTATCGAGGACACTCGGTATTGGGTCGGGCGAAGTAGGAGGAATGAAAAACGACATTCGTTGAAATTTGCTGATAATATATTTCTCGTTTTGTCGCTAGGTGTAACGTGGGCAGGTTTGATATGTGGATTTGGTTGCGAATCTTGACCAGGTGTCAACAGACGAATTATCTTCAGACATGAATAATTCCTTGTAAATAATCTGATGGAGATGTCAAACGAGTGGGTGCGTAATTTTTTTACATTTTCGTAAATGGAATTTGTGTTATGTGTCATATTAATATCTCAACTGAGCCTACATTAAAAGATATGAAATCGAACCCTTTGTGTTCAATTCATCATTCCATGGTTTTGAAATAGAAGTTTTCTCACTATACGACCAGATACGAAACGAAACGAAACCGAATTTGTATGCGCATGTCTAGGTTTGTCATGATTACATGTGGCATAATAAGATGCGATCACTATACACTTCACTAGGCCAAATATGAAATGATCAGAAATATTCTTTTTTTTTTTCAGTTTTATTATAGAAATCAATTAGATACTGATCTGTGTAGCCAAATTGGTAATTAAATTTTCTCCTTCGCAGCCAGTTTCATCATACCTCCTAAATTAAAAGTGATGAATATACCGTCTTCTTCATTTTTTATATCTTTTTATGATTAGTCAGAGATCATACATCTTTGATCTAGTTCAACACATGCATTTATTTGTTAGTCGGATTAGGTATGATGAAAATTCTGCATGAAAAATCAATCCATGGCCATCTTGTCGAGTCAAAGTCAATATGGGAATTTTCAATAATGATCGGCCAATGTTGCAACACCGCTTCTTGGTATTTGAGCAGCCAGTGTCGTATCATACGAAATTTCGATATCGTTTCTATAAATAGAGATGAAAGCAATATGATGAAAATTCTGCATGAAAAATCAATCCATGGCCATCTTGTCGAGTCAAAGTCAATATGGGAATTTTCAATAATGATCGGCCAATGTTGCAACACCGCTTCTTGGTATTTGAGCAGCCAGTGTCGTATCATACGAAATTTCGATATCGTTTCTATAAATAGAGATGAAAGCAATATATCCAATATCCAATAAATCAAGATTATATGAGTTGTCCGCGACATTCAGTGTCTAATGGTGACTTGAGAAATATCTCCCGAGTCTCTTTTAGATGCAGATTTGCTGAAAATATAAAAAAACTCATTGGAAAAGATGATATTTCCAAACAAGCTAGGATATACATACATATTCCAATTATTTCGATATCAGTGATAGTCTGTTGTATGATCGAAGAGTGCAAGCATGTTTTTTCAATACATTTTCTCCGTGTATGAGGTAGAAGCGTTGAAAGTAACGAATTTTGGACATCAAAGCGTTCGTATCCGGACGTTGTGTATTTGATACACGAGCAAATAGAATATGCTCGGTTCCGAAATCAAAATCAATTCATGGGCCATCTGATAGGACTTTTTAAGAAGTCAATTTGGATCGTTTATTCTATACTCAGAAATACACTTGAAACAGAACACACTGTATATGAAGCCCTTGAATGTTTCTATTTATCAACTTTTTTTCTGCATGTTAATCTCATCTCAAATTTCTTTGGCAGTTTTCATGATATTTATGCAAACGATGTTCTTCACAAAATATTATTTCACAAAGTCATTTTATAATGACTGGACTTACCTTCTTTTTGACTAATCTAGGCTCCTGATGGGCGAGCTTCAGAAGCTCTTGGTAGTCTCCTTTGCTGGCTGTCACATACCATTCCATGCATTTCTTGGGTTCCAACTGAAAAACATATTTTCCTAATGCTATTTTGTACATTGTTCCTTTTATTTAACTATTGAAGCTTGTATCAATAACGAATATCTATCTATAGACCGCTTATGCCATGAAAAAATAAAAAGTCAAATAATATTCCGAACGTCAAACACCCTTTATATCGAAAACGAAGCATATAAAAGTCTACAAGACCTTCTCTCTTTTTCATGTTTATGAGTTCAATCCCCTATTGAAATTTTCCGATACCAATCTGAAACATCCTGTATATAATAACACTATTCATATACTAATGTTTACGAACAAAAAGTGACATGAACTTTCAATCACTAATTATCTACAAAAATATGATTTTCTTCAGAAACTAACAATCCCCGCTTCAGATTTCTGTTAGGTTTGATCATAGATTTTAACGACCTTTATCTATGGTTCGATGCAACGTCTATGTACCGTCTATCAATTTAAATTGACTTTATCAGTAGGTACGAAAATGAAGGCAAAGTCATCTATCAAAATACCATCAAGTTACATAAGGACATTTTTTGTCGAAGTTAAATTCAGAAGAAATCAAAAAATCTCAAGAACTAAAAGTTGCTATAGAACGTTCGAAATCGAGAAACATGTCTTGACATGTAGCGAAAGTCACGTGACTATACGACTATTAAAAGTTTTGACCATGTGATGCCAACGTTATGAATGACACTGTAGAGCGTGACTTCAATGTCAAAGCCAAAAATCCCAAAATGTTGCTATAGAGATAGCCCTTTAAGACTGTTCAATATACAAAAACTCAAGTTATTGAGAGACTTGAGCAGACAAACTCAAGTTATTGAAAGACTTGAGCAGACTTGCACCTTGTTACTCTCAATGTGTACCAAAATTACAGGCATAAATGTGACAATCATTGTGAACGAATTGAGATAAATGAAGATAGGGAATACATTCTGCGGTTTAGCCACATCAAGGTTGGTAGAACGTATGTTGATAATGAGTTCTAGAGGAATCACGCCATCTAAGATTCAATATGTGAACCCCACGTCATGGTCTGAAATTCAATTGTTTATATCGAGAATCAGTCTGACGACACAAATGAAGAGTAAGCGCACCAGAGGTTTATTTCATCAATGGTTTGATCATAGATTATAACGACATTTATCTATGGTTTGATGCTAAGTCTATGCATCGTCTAATTCAGGAGCGAAATTTATTCAGTACGAAAATGATGGCGAAACCATCTATCAAAATATCAGCAACCACCATCCACATTTCAGTTTCACAGAACTATAATGATTGAGATATATTGCTAGTGGTGAAAAATTTTCATATACACCTTCGTAGTAAATCTATTATTATTAGTAGTAGTATTATCTTGTTCCCTGTGTAATACTGATATTCTTTACTACATTGGTGTACTATCATCATTTGTACCATTGTCGTTCTAGATGACAACCTAGTTAGGTAGTTATAGTATAGGGAAGAGCTGTTACTAGGTTTTCATTCAGATCGACAATGGTTATACTAACTCTGGCATCACGTCTCAGTGGCGCGATCTAGTGGACAATAAAATAGTGTTAGTCCTCATCATTAGATGCCATTTTCTGGTTGCTGCATGGGATGTGATATATAGCGGCCTAGATAGTAGCTTAAGTCGATGAATATAACCGGTATGATTACGAAATTCTCGAAATAGTTCACTGGTTCACCTTTCGATAATAGTTATATTGTCAGGTTGCGACAAAGTACAACATTTTTAATTGTCCATAAAAAAGCGAATCATGATATCATGATATATTTGTTCACTTAACGGCAAGTGATAATTTATGTCGAAAGATAATTCCTTAAAACTTCGGAATACGCGTCAACATACAAACCTTGACCAACGTGAAATTCGATAAGAAAAAAAAACATTCCTTTCGGAAAAAAAGTTTCTCACCTACCATATCATCATTGAAGTAACAATACTTTGTGACTGATAAAATATTCGAGATAACAATTTATTCTAAATGAAAAATTACTAAATTAAAAGAAAATCTGAAACTAATAGTGTCACGAGTAGAACATACGGTATATTAGTAATTTCGAACCATGAGTGTTTTGTAAACATAAAGTTAATCAAATCATCCGTTGACATTGAATTATGAAAACTGACCAAGGAACTCTCATGAGAAACGTGCGAATCTAATAAATTGATGAATATAAATATTGGATGTGAGGGTTCCGAAGTTAGTCTGGTCTGGGGCTACTCTTGACTTGACAAGAGCTCTTCGTAATGGTAATTATAATGTAAGTTGTTATTAGGTCTTTATATTCATTGTTGGTTATTCATATTTGTAATTGCCACCCATGATGTTACATGTTATAATACAAATTGTTATGTTTGAATACTTATATAGTCTCGTACTTCCAGTTACCCCTAAACTATTAGTGCCTATTCGAATATTACCTCTCGCAAACTATTAAGCCAAGCATTACCCCTTACAAATCGTAACATGGTGGAAAGCTGCCTATGTGCCTATATCGTGACAATAGTATTAATCTGTCTGCATAATGTTCTGGAAAATGAAAAATGATTGAAAAAATCAAAGCTTCAAATGTCTGGTACAACAACAGGAATTCTGAATTTAGAATTCATTCAAAATTAGATGCAATAAAAATTACCAGTCAGGAACATAGTCAATGTTGATTTTAGTGTCGTAATTATTATTCACGAAGTTGAACAGGTCACCCCGTATATCTTAATATTTTAATTACATGTACCGTACTGTAGAAGATACCGATCGAGACCTTAAATTAAATAGTATAGTTATAATAATTCAGCAATTAATAATCCGAGAGATACATATCTACGATATTGTGTATGAGAATGGGCTGATAACCAGAGGCCAACGGTTATTATTTTCTTCTCTTTGCCAGAGCCGGGGACCTCCTCTGGTGCTGTGGAAAAAGAAGATTTATCGAAAACTGAAACCGATCCAATCCGATCCGATCCGACTTCTATCTCAGTGAATTCCATTCGAATTACAAGATGACATTTTTCTACTGCTATAACAAAAAACTGCTCTTTGTTAGCTGTTTTCGATAAAACAATGAGCTATATACAATATGAATGGCTTCAATTTCATTTAAATTGAGCTCTTTTCTACCTCCTCCATCTTTCTCTTCAATGCTACCAACGTGGCTGCATTGAAATATAGAGAGGTCCGATAAATCTTTTCCTTGTCTAACTTCTAGTTTGTGCCACTGAAATAGTTTTTGCCTGTCATTTCCTCGCACCTCAAAACAATAACTTCATTGTGTTATCTACAGGCCCGTTCATGAATGACAGACATTCTCTAGGCGTTCGCGTTTTCTCAGGACTGTTTCGTATTCCACAGATCACGTGTTTTCGTTTTATACGAACTAGTTTGGGATAGTTCCCAATCGGTCCAAAGCAGTACAAGCCTCTGGGCAAGTACTGCCCATGACTGTCGTGAATAATTTTGGATGCGCATGCGTTTATGCAACCGATTCTTAACCTCTAAACGTTCTTATGTTGAGTGATACACTTTTGAACAAGATCAAGAATGGAATAATCAGAAAAAATCCAGCTCATCGTCCTATCTTCAAGTTCAGATAATAACAAACGTTTTTGAACATGTTATCTGCTGATGGAAATATTCAAGACCCATCTGGAAAATGGTGGTTTTAATCGATGCAAACCAAATCTCAAGAATGGTGGAACAACTCACCAGGAATGAGACAGGCTAAAGAGTTTATTTGAAAACCATCGCCAACATTCACAAAATATCTACTAAGCCAGAAACGAAGTTCAACTAGAATACTAGTGGGACTTCTCACAGGGCATTGTATAGGCTCAACAAACACATGAGTACGATAGGTCTGACTGAAGAACTGCTGTGCAGGTTCTGTCAAGAAGAGGAAGAAACAGCAGTACACATACTTTGCCACTGTGAGGGCTTGTCAAGACTAAGGTTCCTTACGCTGGGTGAGGAAAAACCAAAAGCCCAGAGATACACAGGAGATCTGAAAGCAAGCCTATGGAGTCTCATAGAGAAGGCGGGGCTAGCCGAAGAACTCTAATCGATTTTGAGGGCAGACACAATAGATCTGAAAAGGTTGCAGTGTGGAGGCAGATAGACCGAAGGCCCCATTCCAAATCTAATCTAATCTAATCTAACCTAAATATACCCTCGATTCACGTGAATCAAGACACAGCAAAGGATAACGGATGGATGGAAGTGACGCACTATTTCTGAAAAACTCTACATTCTCGCATCAATAATTGAAAAATCGAAAAATGAAATAAAGTAGATGAAGTGGCACTTACCGGTATGGTGGAGGCGCAGTCTTCGTCATTGGCCCCCTGCAAACAAAACAGCAACGATAAACAAAACAGCAACGATAAACAAAACAGCATCATGTATAAATTAGCCGCCGTCATAGATAAGGATCGGTTCTTGTACAGAGTGGCATTTCCTTTTTTTGGAATCTTAAATCGAACCAACTTGCTATTTGGAGGAACTTCGTAAAGTAAACGAATATCGATACAAAAACGACAAGAAAGATTTTTTGTGGTGGTGAGGTCGCAATTTTGAATTATTTTTTTATTTCCAGACGAATGTATGATTTTTCAATATAGTTCATGGAGAAAATTCATTCAGTTTAATTGCCAATATTCAGGGTGGTTAACTCTCGAGGGACTGGGTAAAATTATAATTTGTTCGTAATTTCATTTTAATTTTCGAATGAACTTTGTTCTATACGATCAGTAGCTTTTTTTCTATAATTAGAGGGTGGTCAAAGTTCATAATATGCCCACAAAATGAGAACGAGACCACCGACTTTTATTCTAGAAGATACAAGAATGATTCGGAAATTGAAAATACTTAATTCTTGAAGAGTACGATGAAAAAAAAACAGAAATTCCTGATGAGAAAAGTCCACTCCTAATGAACTGAGAAACTTAAATATGTTTCAAGGGAGTACAAATATTTCACGCCTGAAACCACTAATGGAATCTTAAAACAATTTAATTAAATGCATATTTCATCCACATTTTCAAGAACCAACGGTAAATTTATACAAACCTAGACATTTTTTGAACCTGATTTCGTTATATGTTTCTTGGGGGTAATAAACAATCAATTATTTTGAGAGGTCCTTATGACAAATTTTCTTTGTATAATGTTGGATACCTATTACTAAGTTAGTGAAGAAAAAAACGACTTCCAGCGGCATCTTTTGGGGACCCGAATGTTCGGAAATTGTACATTTTTTTTCAACTTTTGGAGATTTTTGTGTGTATGAATGTATGTATGTATGTGCACCCACATTCCTGATGGGCCACTTCCTATATAGGCCAAATCTTCTGAACATCCTTCGGGTTCAGGATACTTTCCCCAAAATGGATATCCCTTGCTGCAATTACTACCAGGTATTCAGTGAGAATGTGAGTTGAAGTCTCTTCAACCTCTAAGCACCAGCTGCATTCAGGATCCTCTACAATCCCGATCGTGCTGATCGTTCAAGTGGCAGTGCCTGTCAGGAAACCCACCACCAGTTTCAACTCCTTCCTGCTCTAAGCTAAGAGGGCATTGGTCTGTCTTAGTGACGGATTTTCTATGTGGAGTTTACACTGCCTCATTCCAGGAGCCTCTCTCCAGCTGTCCTGGAACCCTTTCAACAGGACTCCCTTAAATTGCTCCAGGATCGAGGGAACCCCAAGAATGGCTCTGGACCAATCACTGAACCCTTCACCCCCTTCCTGGCCAGACCATCGGCCATTTCGTTACCATCTTATGTTAGGTCAGGTGAGTGCCGAAGACATACTTTGTTCGTTGCCGACAGCCTTTGTAGGCTATGAATCTATGCCCTCTGACACCAAGGAGGAGGCCACTCTACAGTGTGTCTCACTTCAAATGGAAACACCCCTGTATGTTAGGTAATCGTTGGGTGAAGATCCTGAAATTTGCTGGAGCGAGAGATATACAAGAAAATGATCAAGGGGGTTCATCTTCAGTGATTTAGACTGATCGCCAATCCATGGAACCACCCCAATTTCAGAAAAATGATATAAGGAGTCAAAATAGGTTGATAATCACTTCGGATTCGGAATCAGGGCGCCCAATTCATTAACTATTCTTATTTTTCTTGAGAATTTGTCAGTTCTGAAAAATTCATTTTTGTCTCACTTTTCAATGAAAAAAATACCGTATTTCACGTAATCGTTGGGTTAGGATCCTGGAATTTGCTGAAGCGAGAGATATACCAAAGATGTACTATATGACCAAGAGGAGTCATCTTCAGTGATATACACTGCTCGCCAACAGCCGACTACACACATGTCCGGAAAATAATATCAAGAGACAAGATAGGTTGAAAATCAATTCGGATTCAAAAACAGGACCTCCAATTCACCAACTTCCCATATTTTGACGCATTATTATCGGTTAATATTTTCTTCATACTACCAACAAATTTATTCGTTCATAATTTATTAATTTCAATGACACCCGTCATGATTTCTGATCTGTTTTTATTATCCCTGATGGGAACTGACCCAGGATATTTACCACATTTTCCCGGCCACCCTGTATGCAGTGCAGGCGCCATTACTCGACACATTTCTTCTTCTGATTTCCTCTCAGCTTGGTGCCGCTGATGCCCGCTTATCTGCCATGTCCATCTTCATTGTGTCGTACCAATAACAAGTACTAAATTGAATAGATTATAAAATCAATCGCCCCTTTGTCAGTACCACGTCGAGGTGACAGCATGGACGGGTACGGCCGCTACAGGGTCTCCAATAAGTCGGGCGACCGAAAATCTCTTGCGAAAAGTTTTTTTTTACACATCTATAAGTATTTCTTTAGGAGGTTATCCCAGAAACAGAAGCTAACTTGGCTATTTGTTGGAGTTACGGCAACATTTAACGTAAGATTAGATATGTTTTCATGAGAAATGGAGCAATAGAGTGCTGCCGTGAACGTTAACGTAAACGTTAAACGTAGAAATTGCGCATTACTGGATTTTCCACGTTTGTATTGGTAGTGGGCTTACGGGTGAACGTTATCTTGCGTATTTTCACGTACACCTTGAATATCAACGTACGTTAACCGAAATATGCCATTGAGTCAAGATTATTGAAGCCTGGACACACAAAAAATTCTTCTTCAAGGATTCTGCTCATTTTAACATACCAATTAATGTTCAGATCAAAACATACGACCAGAAAGGACCAATACATACCGGAAACAAAGATGTATCTTCAAGTTACGATGACACTGATGACTTCAACTCAATTTAAGGATAATCCGTAAACGTAATTCTCCGTACGGCAACGTCTACGTGGTGGTCTACGCACAGTGTGCACTTCAACTTTCTGATGTTAAAAATTTGAAAGGAAAAGCAGTATAGTAGATATCCATGCATATAGATCGACGCTAGTTATGTGTTCGATCTACATCAAAATATGTCAAGTTTCAAAATCCTCATGGATCTTTCTTTTATTTGATTCAGACCAGGGAAGAGTCCCTCTTATCCTGATATCTATATTATGGAACAAAATGAAAACGGTATTGAAGTTTTAATATTCTGAGTTAAAGTTGAACGAAATAGAATTTTGAAATCAGCATAATATACAATTCGATATTTCAAAAAGCCATATTATGAAGGTGAAGCGGTGACGTATTAGATCCAAACTGTAGCTATCTCTCTCCGATTCCTTGTCATTCTGCAGTGTTGCAGTGTGATTGGCCAGCTCAAGGACAATAGGCGAGTTGTAACTAATACCAAAGATTACTGAATTCTAGAAGATAGTTCACTTAGTGAAATCCGTTTGTCGGTACAGCCCAACATTGCATTTTTTGCTTTTCTATAAATCATTGCACCGCCAAACGGTTGCGGTCGGTTGACAGCTAATTAGATTGCGATTTCAAAGGCCCCGGCAGTCGTTAGCCGGCAGAATCCAGCGGTCGGCTAGGTTGCGGCGAGATCTCTTAGAAGTCGAAAAATGAACGAGTGAACTGTCTTATAGTTTATCTTCTGTAGTCTATGCTAATACGTCACACCAGTCACACCAATGTATGTGTTTGAAATGAACATAATTAAATTTTTTTATCGTCCTAGTATGGATGAGAAAATCCTAGATTATATTTACTCTAGAAAAGCCGATCTCACTGTCCCCAACATAAGCTTGTCTGGAGTAACCATACCTCTGAAAACATCCTTTTTGATGCTTGGTATTACTATCAGCAATAGCCTTTCTTGGGAAAATCACGTGAGATCAATTGCTAAAAGTGCATCCCAAAAACTTGGCTTTCTGTTTCGGGCCAGGAGCTATTTCACTTTCAGTCAGCTGCTTATGATCTATAAGGCACAGATCCGACCTGTCCTGGAATATTGTACCCATATTTGGAGTGCAGCACCCAAACATACCCTGAAACTGTTGGATTCTGTGTCGTTTCAAGAAATCAGTGGTCTCCCCCATTGTAAGAAACAACTTTCTCATTTATCACTTCCTGAAACTTCGAGATAATAATAAAATTTGACAGATGCAGCCGATCGATAGAAAGAACTTCACTTTGCATCATTCTCAAAAAAACAGCAACATTTTTTGGATGCTTGAGCGAGATATTCGAAGAATATAACACAAATACTTCATCATTTTCGATGACCACCCTGTACCGTTCACGATGATGAGTTCAATTTGTGGTAGATGGAGAATCAAAATGGGCTGCGGGAGGTCTATTAGGTATAACGGGTTCATGTTGCGACATTTTGTATTATAGATTTGAATGATCGGAATTTTGGCGCCACTTACAAAATTACCACTATAGATTTTCATCAACTTCCATTATCAAATTGTTATTCAGTAATAATTTCATTTCGATATGGCTACATTTTGTTTACATATTGATGAATACTGATCATTTTTAATTTTCGTTGCCTTTGTTAACCTACAAACAGGCTCTTGTGTTTTTACTGTTGAAAAAAAAATGTCTATTTCTTATATTTTTGATCCCTCTCTTATTTTGAACAATATATTATAAATCTCGGAAGCATTTTAACGAAAAGATTCGATAGATTCTCATCAGGTCCACCATCCAATATATTCCCAACAAGCCGACATTCAACAGATTCTCAAAAAATATCGTTCTCTTGAAACTCAAAACATTTATCAATGGATTTCGGAAGCCTCAACGGAAGCCTAAAAATCTCAAATTACCGCCTCATCGATTTCAAATTTTTTATATTGATCTCGCCTCGGGTTCTTGCAGGCATATAGGATTGCGTGCACCATAAATAAAAAGATAACTCGAATTATGACAACGCCACGGTCATAAGATACGAGTAAATCAGCAT